TTACTGAAAACACTTGCTTAAATTGGTGGAAGTTGTTTGTACTTCTACTCTTAAAACTGTATGGGAGTTTATGTTACTCTCTATTCTTAAAGCTCAAATCTCAACTAAAATATTTGACTAACACGTGGATCCCTCACTAGCTAGTCTGGTTGCCCAACTCATACGTATGAGAGCCCGTCCAGGCTTTCCTTAAACTTAAACTTAGTTAGGGGAGTCATAACGATTCATCCCCCTAACATCTTAAACTTATCGTGGTGGCTCTTCACCATGATTCTCAAGAGCATAACTGTTGCTCATCTTAAATGTATCAAGAGCATAACTACTGCTCTATCTCAAAATCTCAAATGGCAACGGAGTGGCGCTAGTGACTAAAAACACTTAGAACTACTTCACCTTCACTGAAGGTGAAATACTTCTTAAGATAAAACTTGTTTCTTAAACTTGAACTTACTTATAAGTAAAGCATGCAATAAGATGTAACTGAAAGAATGCTTACACAAACTCACATGGCATCATATAAACACACAAAGGCAAGTATGGCACATAGCAGTCAAAGTCAAAAACTTAAATATCGTAAGGCGTAGTATTTACCCCCTTTACACTCACCTTAGTAATCAGTCGATGAACCTCGATTATCGTTAAGGTGGATTGACCCTGTTGCCTCCTCTCATTCGATCACCATTCCATTTTCATTCCTACTGTCGTAGCTAACCCAACCAAAACACCCATCAATTCAATAAAGTTACCACCATACCAACCATGAGCACTCCAGACAAGAATCCCTCTAGAGAATGGAGAGATACCCCCCTCGTCCAAGGCATTTTGTGCTGTAGACAGAGAGGAGAATTCTGCTGATGATGACACTGTTAACCAAATGGAGGATACATGCCTCGTTCGGTCCCGGCCTCATATATGAGTATCTTGGCATGGAACTGTCGGGGTTTCGGCAAATCCCTGGTGCGAAGGTCCCTACTCTCTGCCGTACTTAGTAGATTTCCTATGCTTGTGTTTCTCTGTAAGAATAAATGTCGTGATAGGAAGGTCAAGTCTCGTCTTACTTGTCTAGGTTTTATTGAGTCGGTTTTAGTTAGTCATATCAATACCTCAAGAGGTATGGCAGTCGCCTGGACTGCAGATGTTCAATGTATAGTTCCATCTCATTCAGAGTCCTAAGTGAACTGTGTTCACCAAGTATATGGTGTCTTTTTAGTTATCTTTGTTCATTTGAGTTGTACTGAGAACATTCGATCTAACCAATTGAATGAAATAACTCTTTTTCTTTCGTCAGATATTGACCCTTACTTCATCTTTGGTGATTTCAACTGTATATTATCTTCTGACGAAAAGCTAGGAGGACGAGTTCCTACTCCTCACTCGTTATCTATTCTGCATGCCCTTGTCCGGAGTCTAAATCTCCAAGATCTTGGATTTCATGGCCCTCCTTTCACTTGATAGAATAGAAGATACCCCCAAGAGCATATTATGGAATGGCTTGACAGATGCCTAGCATCTTCATCATCCATCAACATCTGGGAAGTAATGCTAGTCCATCACCTCTCTAACCTAGGCTCGGATCACAAAATGCTCCTTCTTCACCTTCATCCAGCTGATGCCCAGTCTAAAGCTAACTTTCACTTTGCCTGCCGGTTGATTGAGAACTTAGAATCTCAAGGAATCCTATATGCCGAATGGAAACAACCAAATAGTGGCACATTGCAATTCCAACTTCACAATACGTTGAAGTCTGCTCTCCATCAACTCTTCTCATGGGAAGCCAAAGGTACGACAAACTTAGCTCAAACTATTCAAGAACATAAAGATGTTATCTCTTCCTTGCAGGAGACTGTTCCCATTGACTGGCAGGCAATTGGGGCTCTAGAACATCAACTATCAGACACATATCTACAAGAAGAGATATACTGGCAACAAAAGTCCCGAGAAAATTAGCTAAATGTAGGCGATGCTAACACTAGATTTTTCCATCTTTACGACTCTGCAACGTAGGAAGAAGAATCGAATTCTTTCCCTACGTGATGTGGATGGTGTACTGCGCTCGGATGAAGTAACTACAGGTTTGATAACTGTTCAACACTTTCAAATTCTGTTCTTATCTGAATGATGTATACAAGATAATCTCCAAGAACCCCAATGCGGAGTTAATAAGTCAAATGAGACTGATTGGATTATGCCAAGTCTCATACAAGATAATCTCCAAGAACCTCACAACTAGACTAGGTGAGATTCTACCGAGTATAGCAGGTCTTTTTCAAAACGGGTTTGTCAAGGGTCATAATATTTCAGATAATATCTTGTTAGGGCAAGAGGTTATGCATTTCTTGAAAACCAAAACTCAAGGAAGGGAGAAATAGATGGCTCTGAAATTAGACATAGAAAAAGCATATGATAGGGTGGATGGGAATTTCTATTCGCTCTCATGCAACGTTTGGGATTCTTGTGAAACTTGGTTGAATTAGATTAGAGAATGCATTACTATAGTCTCATTTTCTGTTCTAATCAACAGTAAGCCTCATGGTTTCTTTATCCTAAGCGTGGGATTCGATGGGGAAACCCCTATCGCTCTGCTCTATGCACTTTATACTGAGGGTTTCTCAGCTCTTCTCAAACAAGCAATAGAAGCTCAATTCCTGCATGGTCTGAAAATTCACCATCGCTGCCCGGTGATGTTGCACCTCTTCTTTGCAGATGATACTTACCTTTTTCTTCGTGCCTCTTTTCCTGAATGTCAAAAACCGTTATCTCTTTTTGCTTCTTATCAACAGATAAGTGGGCAGAAAGTTAACTTACAAAAATCCACAGTAACATTTAGCAGTAACGTGTTGGATACAGAAGCTGCAGACATTCAATCTCTTCTAGGAGTAGCAGTTGGAGGACCGCAAGATCGTTACCTTGGGCTGCACACTAGAATTTCCATATCCAAGCAAGAGACCTTTCAGTTTATTGAAGATCAACTAATATCCAGATTACAACAGTGGAAGTCCAAATCACTATCTCTAGCTGACAAGGAGGTCTTATGGAAATCCATAGTGAATTCTCTACCCAACTACGCTATCCTTAGCTTTCAAATGAAGACTATCTTCTGCAGAAGATTGAATGGACATCTAGCGCGGTTTTGGTGGGCACAACAAGATCGAGATGAAGGTGATTCGGACCTAATTGCACATGTTTTGCCCTCGTTTTACTTAGGTGTTTGTGCCAAATTCACTCCTTAAATGTTGGTTTTACGCTAGGTTCTTCGTGTGTTGAGTGTTTTCAGGATTCAACGGGTGAAACCAGCCTCGGAGTCGAAATATTGGCGAAAAGGATCGAAAACTAGGAGAAGAGGTGAAAAAGAGCCAGTTCACGACTAACCAAGGGAGTTCACGGTCTTGCATGACTGTGAAAAAGAGGAGTTGACCGTGAATCGCGAGGCGTCCAGAGCCAAAGTGAAGGTTACTGACGCAAGGCGAGTTCACGGTCACTAAGACCGTGAACAAAGGCAGTGGACCGTGAACTCGAGTGAACGATGCGACGTGTTTTGGCGTACGCCTGCAGTTCACGGATGCGTTTCAATGTTCACGGCCGTGAACTGAGGTTTAAGACCTTGAACTGCTCAACACGTCCTTGAACTAAGACCGTGAACTGCTCAACGCGTCCTTGAACTCAGCTCTAAGACCTTGAACCAAGCCTGATTTGGGTATAAAAGGAGATGGGAGCTGAAGGAGAAGAGAAGAGCTGGTTTTTGGAGAAGAAACACTTTCTCTCTCTAGGGCTTCAACCTAAACACCAAAGGGGAGTTCTATTGAGAGAGAGATAGAGTGCTAGAGTGATCTTGGAGCATCATTGGAGGCTTGGGTGGAAGATTCAAGCGTAGAAGAAGAAGAAGATCTTGAGCTCAAATTTGTAATCCCTCTCTCTCTCTCTCTAGAAACTCACTCTTTTCTCTTGGGTGTTGTAGATCCCTAACTAATACTTTGTAATTACTTGTTTAGATTGAATGATTGTCTCTCCGGCCACATATGCATCCCTCTGCGGTACGCGGTTACCAGTTTGCATCTAGGTTGGCTGTGATTAAGCCGCTCAAACTCCGGTTTGAGGGAGAGACCTAGGCAACCACTAGAGCCTGAGTGAGAGGATCGATCCCGTGACAAATCGATCCCTAGCGAATCCATCCCGTGACAAATGGATCTCTAGTTGTTCCTCCTAGCGGTTCCCCTAGACTTGGTGAGTGGATCGATCTCGTGACAGATTAATCACTAGTTGCTCACCCCCCGAGGTTCACAACCACCTACGCCTCACGACTTCATTCAATCCAACAAGTCATGGTAGCTAGTTAGGGGGAAGCAACTCCTGGGTGAAGCTCCCTTAGTTAGACTTTCCTTTATTTACTTTTCCTTGATAGTTTAGTTTGTAGTTCCATTAGTTATAAACCCAAAAGTTGCTTGCTAGATAACAACCTAAACGATTGAAGTAGGGGTACATGGATCAGCCCGGATTGACAATTTAAATACTTGCTCTATACTGCACCCGATTACAGTTTAAAAACTTGGGCGCGAATCGGGATTAATTTGTGGTGTAGTTTCATGCGAGTCAGAAGGGATGAAATGGACGTCATGGAGATCCCTATGTAGACACAAGCATCATGGCGGGATACGATTCCGAGATTTTGACAGTAACAACTTAGCTCTACTTGCCAAACAAGCTTGGCGGATGCTGTTATCACATTGCTGCTGCACAATATGATTAATTGAACATATGAGAAATTGCTTTAGAAATTATAATTAATTAGTTAAGGGTTTTGTGGGTTGGGGCCTGGGGGTATGGAGTTAGGTGCGGGTATCCGTTGACTGGATATGACTAAACTCAAACCCAACTCAATCCGCGAAAAATACAGCAGGTTTAAAGTTGAACCCGACCCGCAATTCGTCAAAGCGGGTTTTACCCGTGTTGACCGGGTTAGATGGGTATTTGTACCCGCGGATTGGGGTTCTACCGCCATCGTGGTGGACTAGTGGTAGTGGGTTTCTTTCTTCAAGTTAATTTCGCTGGCTACTACGCTACGCTCAAATAAAACAGATCCGTGAAGCGGCTCGCGGTCGGCAGAAACGAAGAAGAAAGCAAACCACCCCAGAGCTGACGATCAATCCCGGACCTTGTTCTCATTATTGCAACGAGAAGCAGGATTGTTTCAATTAATCGGAGAAAGAGATGGTTACCAAAACGGAGGAGAGTCAATTGAACAAGCTCGAGAACCAGGTCGACAATGGCGGTGGAGGCGCCTGGGAGTATCTTTGCCTGGCCCGGAAGCTCAAGGTCAGGCGTTCCGATAAGGTGCTCAAGTACGGGCTGTCCATCTTGAATGACTCCCGAAAGAGATCCAGCCTCGGTTCCGATGGTGCGTCCGCGTTGTTATTCTTGTTTCGGATTCGAATTGCAGCTTAATCCTTGATGAACTGGGGTTTTCTTGGTGATCTGTGAGATGAGTTGAGGGGTGGTTTATGTGTTCTGGATTTAGGGAGTGTTATGTAGAGTTGGGAAGTCGATTGGATTGTATTTTGAGCTGATTGGGAATCTTTTTTCTAGGGAGACTTGGTGGAATTATGGTCGACAGACGTGATTCTGCTGCTCGAGAGTGAATTCTATTCAAGTAAACTCCAATCATAATGTTTGATCCTATATGTTTTTGTAGGAGCCGCATATTTTTCTAGTTACAGGGGATGTTCCGTGCTATAGGTCAACTGCTTAGACTGACAAATACTTGGTTGTGAGGTCCAAGGAGTGATTCCGACAATAATGTTTCCTTATAGTATAAGTCTGGGTGCCAGATTATGGTGTTGTTTAGTTGAGTGGAAGGACCAATGGGTTGGTAAAGGTGCCTGATTCTTCCTTGGTCAGAGAGCTAGAAGAGAATGAATCTATGCGAAAAGCTTAAGAAAGCTTTCTAGCTAGCATGTAAATTGGAATTATACCACGGGAGCTGTTAGCAATTCATGTCAAATTACTATGAGTAACTGGTCTGTCTTTTATTGCAGAGTGGACCCTATATGAACAAGTGGCTGTTGCAGCTATGGACTGCCACGCTCTTGATGTGGCAAAGGTACTGATGTTTCCTTCTTGAGCTTACATCGTTCGTTAGTTGCTAGATTACGGTGATGTTGGCTTGGCTTGAGTGAGGCTTAAGTCAGAACTTGTTGTGTCTTTACTAGGTCAACACAGACTGAATAAGGGGCTTTGTTGTTAACTTCTTCATGTTTATTAACCAATTCCATTGTTGAATTACTAGTTTCACCATGCATTGGTGACTTGAGTGACTACTTCACTTGGTATGATAGTGGCTAACGTGAGCACTATTTTATGTTTGTCAATTCGCATATTTAAGTTTAATCGATTAATTCATAGTTGATTGAGTCATTGATAGACACATTGTCCTGGTGCCATTATTCAAGTGACACGGTTCTGTTATCTTTTGTAGGATTGCATAAATGCATTACAGAAGAAGTTTCCAGAGAGCAAAAGAGTTGGTAAGTAAACGTAGCCTTCAATCACATTTCAGTATCCCTTTTGAACCGACTTCTAACTAGTGCATGGTCCATGCTTTCCTAAGTTTGTCTGTTCACTTAATTTTCTCAATATCCATAGCCCTTTAATCGTAAGTAAATGTAGCCTTCAAACTAGTGCATGGTCCATGCTTTCCAACCTGCTTCAAACTAGTGCATGGCTCATGATTTCCCAGGTTACAGTTCCCTAAATTCCTCTATGTTCATGATCTTCCTGCTTTTACTTGCCATGCATATTGTCCTTGAGACACTACTCACTGGCCTTGCTGTACTTGCAGTACTTAACTATACCCTTGAAGTTTTTATTATTCTTTTGGTTTAAATCACAGGCAGGTTGGAAGCAATGTTACTTGAAGCAAAGGGATCTTGGGAAGATGCAGAGGCGGCTTACTCAAGCCTTCTGGAGGAAAATCCATTTGATCAAGTAATTCCCTTTCGAAAATTATATAGTTACATTTTGTCATTAAAAGCGTTGTACAAAATGTTCCCCCGCATAATTTTATTTCTGGTGTTGTATTCATCGTGCAGGTAATCCACAAGAGAAGGGTTGCTATTGCAAAGGCACAGGGCAACATTTCAGTAGCCATTGAATGGCTAAACAAATATCTGGAAATGTGAGTCTCTTAATCTACTTCCTTAAGTTCACGTCACCACTTTCCAAAACCACTCAATTCTGGCTTGTGGGTAGCACTCCGGAAAAAAAAAGGGGCTCTACCTTGGCTCTGATGCATTAATGAGTTTAAGCTTATTCGATTTTTTTTTTCTTCTTTTTATTCAATCAAACATGATCCATTACGAGATAGACAGATAGTATACCATTCTAGAAAGTCAACATCTCCAATTCAATGATTTTGAGCTCCAACACGTCATTGACTTGTGCATTTTTTGCTCTTATTTTCAGATTTATGGCAGACCATGATGCATGGAGAGAACTTGCAGAGATATACGTCTCCCTACAGATGTGAGAGCCTTTGTCCCGTTTCATATTACTTAATACAAAAGTGACATCACATTTTTTGAGGACCAGAAGCCTGATCTATATACTATTATGTCCATATATTAGGTACAAGCAAGCTGCTTTCTGCTACGAAGAACTGATACTGTCCCAACCTACTGTCCCACTCCACCATCTTGCCTATGCTGATGTAAGACACCTTTTTGCATCCAAGTTTCTATTTGATTCCCACTATTCGAATTATGCAAAACCACAATCAGGAATTTTTGGTTTGCAATGAACAGGTGCTCTATACACTCGGCGGACTGGAAAACCTTCAAACAGCAAAGAAATACTACTCTTCCACAATAGATTTATCTGGAGGCAAGAACAACAGAGCTCTCTTTGGCATCTGCTTGGTTAGTAGTGCTAACAAGCCTAATTTAGGTTCCCTGCATCTTGCCCTCGGACTGTTGCTCGTCATGACTGATCAAGAAACCCTCTTATGCGTGTTTATTTTTTGCCCAAAATTTCCAGTGTAGCTCCGCCATTTCACAACTGGCCAGAGGGAGGAACAGGGAAGACAAGGACAGTAGCCCAGATCTGCCATCTCTGGCATCAGCTGCTCTTGAGAAAGAGTACAAGCTGCAGGCCTCCGATAAGCTCTCCGTCCTTACCTCGACTTTGAAATGCTTGAGAGTGTCGTCATAATAACTCTTCATTCCCAAACCATTGGGAACCTTTCTCCATAAATAGAACATGTGAAAAGGGGACGCACACCGACTGCTGAACCTTGGGAAAATGTTTTGGCAATTTGGCTTCGCGTTATATGGTTGATCCGAAATTTCGTTCTTTGGTGGATTGATTCCGACGTGAGAACATAAAATTTATCATTCTTTAAAAGCTGGATTTGATTGTTTTTGTAGGGAAAGAGTGTAATCAGACTGAAGGATAGATTGAGATGCCAGATTATTTATAGTTTTAACTAGCTTCTAGGTCATTCAAGTGATTCCTACCTTAGTGAAGCAAACACAAGCTCCAAAATTCTTATTGTCCCCACGGTGCAAAAAACAAGTGGGGGTGGCGTTCTACAACAGCTAGCGGGTTTTCGAGTCAAATGGGTGGGTTCGGTTGGGTTCAATCGAGTTGAAGGTTAGTTGGGTTGGATCCATCGAATTGCGAGTTCATCGGATTCGGGTTCAATCAGGTTGCGGGTTCATGCGGACGGATCGGGGTTGCGGGTTATTCGGGTCAGCACATCAAGTTACTTACTCCTTAGTCCTTACTCGTTACCAATTTACACATTTTATTATATTAATTTAAAATGATTTTCACAATTTTTAATCGATTTCTTTGTACCTCACAGATATACTTAGTTTTCAAAAAAAAAAAAAACTAGTAAAAAATGTTGAATCAATTTGTATGACTTGCGAACTTGTCATGTAATTAATCGTAATTGGTAAAACACATTAGCTAATAGAAATGATGATATCAACATTTGCAACCAATAGACACTATTAACAAACCATACATTCAGAAAACACAACACCACTATAAAAGCAAAGAAAAATAAAGGTTCATGGAAAATTTTGCAAGCGTTGTCAATCAATAATCTCAATTTATTTCCATAAGCAAAATCTAGACAATGCCTTGATGTTATAAACAACAACTTATTATAGATAGAGATCGGGCATAATAATAAGGGAATTGAAATGTTGTTGCGTCGAATTGGGAGTAATTTTTCCTTCTTAGATTTTCATTTTGGTAGAGACAAATTGTAGAGGGAAAACAAAATGAGAAGAACGAAAAGTGGGGAGGAAAACATTGGAGAAGTGAACAGTTGTGATGAAAATAACAAAATGTGTGTGGTGGGTGGGTGGGAGGGGATTTTCCCACCTAAATGAAAATGTGATGGGAGAATTAGCAAGTGAGATTAAATTTTCTTACAAAGTACTTGGTAAGATTTCGATAAAAGAAGAAGCGATGATTATTTTGAACAAGGGATTAAGAAATTTTATTTTAATAACCTATTTATCACGGGAAATGAAGGCTTTTCCACGACTGAAAAGATACAATTTCCGTGACTTTTATGTACTTTTTAATAAGGGTAAATTTTATGTGAATAAGATCGTGTGACAAAAAAAAATTCTTGTAATGCCACCTCATTATTCTTTTATTAATCTATACCCTAATCATGAACTCTGACCATATATCATAAACTATGAACATTGAACCCTAAACCCAAAATTAACTTAGTATATGTCGTTTAGATGAAATAATTGTCAATGTGGTATTAGTAGAGTCAAATAAATTATTATTGTTTTATTTGATAGTCAAGTTAGTTCATATAACTAGAAAGTACAGTGTTTATCAAAAGCTATTAAATTAGAGGCGTGTTATTTTCCGCTCGTACATTTACTATTTGCCGCCCATAATTTTAGTGAAAATGTCATTTTTACCCCTTGTCTATTTTTTATAACACAAATACTCAATCACCACCAGTAGACCACCACCGTCGTCGGCGCCAGATCACCGCTGCCGTCGCCACACCACCACCGCCGTTGCCAGATCCATCCCGACGGGCGGACGCCGTCTGATCTCGGCGGGCGGACCCCGTCCGATCTCGGCGGGCGGACAATGCAAATTAATTCATACTTATTTTTTAATTATGTAAATAGAGATAAAATAAATAAATGATAATGGATATTTAATCATAAATTATCATAAAAATATTGTATAAACTTATGAATAATTCATTTTAATTTGGAGTACAGTCCTTCTGGACTGCTTTGTGGCATTTGGGGCAAGGTTTCGTGTTGACGGTGATCCAGCTGTTGGTAGCATCCTGGCTCTTCTTCTTCCATAACTCCATGCCACGGTGGTTTGAGCTTAAATGTTTTAAGCCATGGTGGAAACACAAGTGTGGGGGTGGGGAGGGGGAGGGGGGGGATCTCTTTCCCTCCCAATGAGCGGTATATGACGGATGTTTCCACGTATGGTGTGTGTTTATTTTTGTGTATGATGCTTAACTTGGAGCATGAGTTCATCAGTTACCTAGTGAACCACCCATATTTTGGCGACAAGTTCGCCTACCAGAGTGACAGCCTGATCGGGCCTCACTGGCGGCTGGACCTGGACATGTTTAATTTGTTCAGGTGCTGAGCCGCCATGACTGGAGTACTCTCCATCCCCAGTGGCGCCGGCAGCTGGAGCCCAACCCCGAGGTCCCACTAGCATCAGAGCAGCCACCTGCTCGTGCACCCGGCGGTCGCGCTCCTGCGCCTTGCACAACAGCCACCACCACCAGGAGCAGGCGATCCCCTCGTCCAGAGGGTGGATCGCCATGAGACGAGCTTCATGGGATTCTCATCCCGCCTCGAGCGACAGTCCGACATCCTCGAGCTCATAGTCAACGCCAGGGTATCCTACCCAATTCTGGAGAGGGTCCATCCACAGGAGAGAGGTAGCCGACGAGAGAGACATGTGGCAGAGCGGAGTCGTATTGTTTGTAACCCTAAACTTGTTTTGTTTTTGTTTTTTTTATTTGTTTGTGTGTGACATAAACTACTACTAATATGTATTGTGCTTGTAATAACCTCGCCTCGAGCGAGTCGTATTGTGCTTCTGTGTGTTTTTTGTTGTCTCTCCTTGAAGCTCAAATTATCCTACCCCGGTTCGATTCTTACATTCACTCACCAAGCCCAAGCGGTAACATCACTCTACCCCTTTCTTACGCCATTGAGGGCAATGTCGAGTTTAAGTGCGAGGGGGTAGTCTACTAATATGCTTGTGTGAGTGAGATGTTGCCTGGAGCCTTTTGTATGCCCAAATTTTAAAAATTTGAGGGCTCCAAGCAACGTTTGCATGTTCAAAGTGGCCGGATGGTGGGAAACTCTCGTGTTTGTGGCATTGATCTTGAATTGTTGCATGTGATCGAGTATATCCTATGATGATGAATGATAAGTTCATTAGGATAGGGCAAAATTTTAGTTCTCAAGTGTGCATAAATGAATGGATGTCTTGACTTGATCGCTTGTTGTTTACAATTGCCATGCATCGTGCTTGTGAATTGGAATAGATGGTTGGGTAACTAGGTAGCCTGTGAGCTTTGAGTCGTTCGTTTCTTTCGGTGTGATAGTTCCCTCTTACCACAGTGTGTAGCATCACAGTTGTCACTAGCAAGTATGATGGAGGCATAGGATGAGTCCACGCCCAAAAGTGTATTGTCCCGAAATGCATCATCCCTTAGTCAACCCCTTTGAGCCTTGTGACTCTGTGGGTCGTTCTCAATTTAGGAGCTTCGCTCGTGTGAGCTTAAAGGTGTTAGTAGAACGACCCCCAAATCCTTTCTTCGTGTCTAAACATGAGTCGCCTGTGTGTCCCGGAGCTCTTACCGTTGAGGTTCCATAGAGGTTCTACATAGGAGGTTTGTGTGTGGTCCTTGCTAGGGATGGGGAAAATGTAGTGTAGTGTTGGAGTGAGTTCCTCAAAAAGAGAGCATTGGTCGTTAAAAGTATAGGTGGCAAGTGTTGTTACTCTCTAGTACCCCCCTCGAAAAGAAAAGAAAGAAAAGAAAAGAGAAACGAAAAAGACGTAATAAAATTGGGTAAATAAAGTAGAGAGTGCCACGGAAAACCAAAGTACATGCTCTATGAGGGGTTTCTTGGAATCCAAGCCATCGAAACCCCCACATTGTTTAGAACTCCTTCACTACCAAACCTTAAAGAACTAGCAAGAGTTGGCCGAGGAATAGTTATTCAAGGTAGTTCATGATGGGTGATAGTTGGAAGGGAGAGATAAGGGTTTTGGCCGATGCTAGTGGCCTTTGATTGGAGAGAAGGGTTTTAGTCGAAACCATAGACCCTTCGGGTTTAGGTTGAAGATGTAGAACCTCACGTCATGATTGACACCACCCAAAAAAGCCGTTTCCCCATGTCCAAGCCAATCGCGAGTCATCTGAACCTGTGTCTAAGACCGCCGGACGGGCTAGTGGTGACAACCATCACGTGAACTCTAGCGTTTAGAGGTTACCATCGTGGTATTGAGACGATAGAGCCGAGAGGTTACGATTGTGCACATATTTTGCACCAAAAAGGTCCCGACCCCACTGGTCTTGAGAGTGAGTGATCCATTCTTGTGTTACTTACCATTACATACCCCGGTGAGGACCTTCGTTGCCTTTCCATTTGTTCCTCGGAATTGAATTCCATGCATGGTTGGTTGTGGTCGATAATTGGTTTAGTTAAGACTTGCATTTATCCATAAATAAGTTGAGAACTTTTCAGTTGCCCGTTTTGGTGGCTTTGAATGTCGTTTGTGGTGGATGACGCTATTGCTTGCAATGGTTCATGTGTTGATTGTCAATAAACATCGAGAATTCCCGCTTCGTGTCCTTTGAGTTGTCCCGGAAGTATTTGTGTAGGTTGAAATATTACCGTGTGCGTGAAATGGTTTGCTTAGGGACAAGCTAACGTATAAGTGTGGGGGAGTGATTCGGGCCTAATTGCACATGTTTTGCCCCTGTTTTACTTAGATGTTTGTGCCAAATTCGCTCCTTAAAGGTCGGTTTTACGCTAGGTTCTTTGTGTTTGAGTGTGTTTCAGGATTTAACAGGTGAAACTAGCCTCGGAGTTGAAAGATTGGCGAAAAGGATCGAAAACCGAGAGAAGAGGTGAAAAAGCGCCAGTTCATGGTTAACTGAAGGAGTTCACGGTCATGCAAGACCGTGAAGAAAGAGACTTGACCTTGAATCGTGAGGTGTCCAGAGCCAATGTGAAAGTTACTGGCGCAAGGTGAGTTCACGGTCACTAAGACCGTTAACACAAGCAGTTGCCCGTGAACTGACGTGAGCGATGCGGAGCATTTTAGCACACGCCTTGAGTTCACAGACGCGTTTGATGATTCACAGCCGTGAACTCAGCTCTTCTCGGGTTTAAAAGCTGAGTTGCATGGAGGAGAGAGAGAGGAGAGCCCACTTTTGTGAGAAACACCTTCTTCAGCATTCTAGTGAGAGAAACATAACCAAAGGGAAGAAGAAGGTTAGGGTTTGGCTTCAAGGGAGATTT